CCCCTCAGGCCTGCATGAAGTCCCACTGGCTTCTGGGGTGGGGACATCAGAGCAAATGAGGACAGAGAGGAGGAGATACAGGCTGATGGATGAGAGGTCGCAGGGCCCAGGCATGAGCGAAATACAAATATTGCTGCGTCCACTGCCTAATCCAATGAGGCAACAAGGAAGTGTCTTTAAAAATCTTTCTGGAGACGATAGATTTTTTGAGCAGGAAGGGGAGAAAAAGGAGTGCTATTTATTGAACACCTACTATGTGCCAGGCCTGAAGCATATGTTGCCTTGTGAAATCCTTTCATCAGCCATGTCATTCTCCTCTTTTTTTAGATAAAGAAATTGAGGCTCAGGGAGGTAAGGGGGCTAGCCCAGGTCACACAGCTATGGAGCAGGGGAAACAGGATTTGAACCATGCCCAAAAACAAAGCCATAGCTTTGTGCTGAACCAGGGCCTGGGAGGTTAGGAAGGAGGTCAGGGCCCTGGCCTTGAAGGCAGGCAAGGTCTTCCAGGTCATCTCCTGCCTCTCCCAGAAGCCAAACCTGGTGATTTGGGTCAGGGCCACAGAGCCATTTCCTGCAGCTGATGCACCGATAACCGGGCCTGGGGTTAATTAATACACTGCTTCCCCCAATTAAAAGCAGAAAGGAAGAAGATGGTGCATTCAATCAAGTCCGTTTCTCCTTTTCCTGCAGAATCCTAATTTGTGGACACTGGTTTTAATTGTCTTCTCAGCGAGCCCAGCCCAGCTTGGGCCCTGGGGCTGGAGAAGACAATTGCATCCTTCTCAAAAATCTATAATTATACCAGCCTCCCTGGGGACCGGCTGTGAGGCATTACCTGAGCAGGGAGGGAGACTTCAGGGGCAGGAGGAAGTCAAAGAGGAGAGATGGATTTTATGTCCCAAGCTTAGCTGTGATGCTAATTTGGGGAATGGGGTCTGGGTGGCTGGAGGGAAGGAGTAGGGGTGGGGGACTGGGAAGGGGATGTACAAGGATGGTCTAGAAGGTACAGGGTCCAACTCTAGAGCCTCTAGAACTGGGTTTAGTTTAACCATTTACTTGCTCTGTGGCCTTGGGCAAGTCACTTAACCTCTCTGAGCCTCAGCTTCCCCATCTGAAAGATGGGGATAATAATGATCACACCTATCCCATAGTATCACGGTGGGAGCATGAGAAAATGTATGTAAAGAGCTTTGGCACAGTGTCTGGCACAAAGCAAGTAGCTGTTTTTCTCAGAGATTATTCTTACATCATCATCGTTAACATACTTATTGATCAGCATCCAGTTTCTGGTACAATGCAGTGTCCTCGCTCGCAGAGTTAGGACAGGGAGGAAGAACCTCTTGCCAATTAGAGCTGCTCACTGTCAGTGGAGGCGAGAGCTGCTGAGCTCTCCGTCTCTGGAGGTGTGCAGGTGGGTGCAGAAGTATGGAACTTGGTAACTGAACTTTACCTGATTTTTCAGACCAAATCCAGGTGGGGCTGATGGACCCATGGCTCTTGGTCACAGCTGCTGGTCAGACCTAGGTTCAAAATCTGGGCTCTTCTGAACCTCACTGTCTTCGTCTGTCAAATGGGAGTGGATTTGAGAGTATTAGAGACAATGTCTGTATAGTGCTGGGCATGCAGTAGATGCTTGATAAATGGAGTGGATTTAACAAAAAAAACAACAAAGCTCTCTGGATTCCCTCCTCCCTGCCTTTGCTCACACCGTTCCTGCTACCTGGCTTACTTTCTCCTTGCCTCTGCTGTCAGTATCCACCCATCCTTCAAGACCTGGCTTACATGTCACTCCTTTGTGAAGCCTTCCCCTCCTCCCCCAAGTGGAAGTGACCCTCTTCTTCCCAGTGCTCAAGGCCCGTCCTAAGGACGTACATCACTTTATCCCTCAGATGGTCCGAGCTGGTAGGGCTGTCCAGACCGTCAGGACTAGTCCCCATTGTACAGAGGAGCATACCAAGACTCAGGAGGAGAGAGATTGTCCCGAGCTCACGTGTCCTCCATCCCTGCTCCAGTCTGAAGCTCCTGGTGCTTACCTGCATGCACAGACTTCTCCCTCTGGGGCTGCTTGGGGCAGGGCCCTGGACAAACCTTCACGTTGTTGACTGAAAAAGGAGACTCAGAAACACCATCAAATAGCCAGAGCCTCAGTTTCCCCGCTTGTCCTGTGGACACACTGCCCCTTCACCACTGAGACTGGAGCCAAAGAAATCTTAGGGGAGCCTCCCCCACCCCACCCCACCTACACAGCCCCTAGCAGGGTCTGGGGATCAGAGAGACCCTGGGACCAGAGCTGCACTGTGGAGAGGGAGAGCTGGTGGCCGCACCTGTCACTAACTCACCTGACTCCCATGAGGCTTTGGAGCCTGATTCTCTCTCCATCCTCCCACACTAAGTCCCTCCCTGCCCCTGGCTCAGGACTAATCGCCCCACTAGGGCTGAGGTGGAGGCAACACCTCCTCAGGGAAACGCCCCCTGTTTGCCTCCGGCTGGATGATATGCGCCTCTGTGCCCACCCAGGCCTTTGCCCTCAGAATGAAACAGACTCCCCACCCTGCCCCACAGGACTCTGCACAGTTCACCATTTGGAACTATTCCTTTTTAAGAGAGAGGTCTTCAAGCAAAAGGAGGCTGAAGACTCTGGGAAGAGCATGGACTTGGGAGTTAGACAGGCCTGGGTTCAAATCCAGATTCTGCTGTGTGGCCTTGGAAGGGCTACACCCCTGCCCTGGACCTGGGCTGCCTTCTCTGAGCCATGGGTCCAGGTGAGGGGAGGGGGCCTGAGGCTGGCACCACCTGTCACCTGCTAGGACACCTGCCACATGTGGCAACTGAGCACGGGAATATGGCTAGTCCTAATCGAGATGTGCTGTGAACAGGCAAAATACACTCCAGGTTCCCAAGACTTAACAGAAAAAGAGAATGTAAAATGTCTCATTAGTAATTTTTATTATGTGTTGAAATAATAAGTTTTTGATATCTTGGGTTAAATAAAATACATTATTAAGATTAATTTCACTGTATTTTTTTACTTTTTTTCATATGGCTACTAGAAAATGGAATATTCTGTGTTTCTCACAGAGTAGCTTACATCGTTTCTGTTGGGTTGCACCACCCTAGAAGGCCATTACTAGGGTTCAGGTGGAGAGGGGGCTGTCTGGTGGGGTCCTCCCCCATGCTCTTGCCCATCCTGGACTGCCAAGCTGCATCAGGCTCCAGGCTCGGCTCTATTTGGGGGTCACAGGGCTTGGCCTCGCTGATGCTGGCCGCTGAGTGTCCCCGCACCAGACACTGCCCTTTCTGAGCCTTGCTTTCTACATCAGTTGAAAGAGCTGGTGGGCCAGCATCAGGGTTTTCAGTCAATTTGGGAGGAGTCTCTGGGCAGAGGGGGCTTAGTGAGGATGGATGGAGGTCTGGCCCCTCCCCAGGTTGCCCTGGCAGAGCCTCTGCCCAAGGACAGCCCACCTCTGCCTTCCTTCCACGCATGAGACCCACACACAAACCACATCCCCACCTGCTCTCCAGACATGGTTCCCCAACTCACCCCTTTCTGTGGGGAAGAGAAATGTGGTGGCTGAGTCACCCAGGCCTGGGGTCCAGGGCTGGCTCCCCCTTCCGAGATCTGTGCTTCTGTCTAGGCAAGCCCCCTAATAGCTCCAGACCCCTTTCCCCACCTATGGGGGGGAAATGTGGGACACTTTCTGATTTCTGTGGTTCAGGCAATGGTACCTGGAGGAGGTCACAGCTGTGTCCCTCCCACTGCCTCCTGGCCAGCCAGGGTCACACTGCTGGGAACCTCAGATCCAGCTAGGGGGCTTTGTCACTCTCCCCCTTCCCACTTGCATAGGGCCCCTGGTGCTGGGAGGGGAGGGCCCTGGGTCAAGGCAGAATCTGGCTGTCCCAGGGCAAGGGGCCAAGGGCTCACTCTGATCACCTCCTGGCCCCTCCTCGTGGCTCAGGTTCTCAGTGGTGTTCTGCTGGAGTGGGGATCAGCGAAGGCTCCGAGGGCTGGGCCTGGCCTCAGGGTGAGGTCTCCTGGCTCTGGACTCTGCCCCAGCCTGGCCCAGCCATGTCTGTTCATTCATTCATTCATTCAAAAAGTATTGAGCACCTACTATGCGCCAGGCACTGTTCTTGTTGCTGGGGATAGATCAGTGGGCAAGACAGGCATAGTCCTTGCTCTTGGGAAGGAGGGCAGATAATAAACATAAAGAAAATAAGTGCATTAGCTGTGCTGCCCGTACGGTGGCCATTACCTGTAAGTGGCTATTTTCATTTACGTTTAAGTGAATTAATGCTAAACACGATCTAAAATTCAGGTCTTTACGTTTAAGTGAATTAATGCTAAACACGATCTAAAATTCAGGTCATCAGGCACATCAGCCACATTTCAAGTGCTCAATGGACATATGTGGCTGGTAGCTACTGTGTTAGCTGAGATATAGAACACCTTCCTCATGGCAGAAAGTTCTATTCACCAGCGAAGGTGGAGTTGGAAGGGAAGTGTGATTGGAAGTGCTGGGGCGGGGTGAGGGAGGCAGCGTTAAATGAGATGGTCAGGGTAGACCTCATTGAGAAGGTGGCATTTGAGCAGAGTTCTGAAGCAGGGGAGGACAGGAACCCTGTGGGAATCTGGGGGATCAGTGTTCCAGGCAGAGGGAGTGGCGAGTACAAAGGTCCTGAGGCAGTGTCTTGACTGCAGTGTTCAAGGAACAGCAAGGAGGCCATCGTGGCAGGAATGGAATGCACAGGGGTCAAGTAGAAGCTGACACCAGAGGGGAACAGCCCAAGCGTGGAGGGCCTTGTCAGCCGTTGTAAGTAATCTGGCTTTTACTCTGGGTGAGAGAATGCCATGGGAGTGTTTAGAATAGAGAAGGGACAGGGACTGATTTATGTTTTGCCAAGATACCTCTGGCTGCTGTGTGGAAAATAGATTGTCAGGAAGGCAGAGCAGAAGCAGGGAGGCTGGCGAGGAGGTTACCCACTGTTACAGGTGACAGACGATGGTGGTGGCGTGGCCCAGTGGAGGCAGCGGGGTGTGGGGGAAGGGCCAGACTCGGGAGATATTCTGGAGGCAGAACCCCCAGGGTTCCCTGAAGACTCAAGGTGGGGTGGAAGAGAGTGAAGGAGGGAGGGACCCAAGGCTGACAGCGTTTTTGGCCTGAGCACCTGCAGGACGTGTGGCCTCAGCTGTGATGGCGAGGTGGGGGGTGAGGCTCCTCCCCCCAGCAGCCCCGCTTTGCCTCCTGCCTGCGCTGGGGATAGGACAGTCCCAGCTTTCGGGTGGGCTGTGTGTACAGACCCCAACACCCTCCCTGACACATATTCAGTAACTGAAGCAACGTTCATTCTTAGTAAACAGGCTTTGTTTGTATAACAGTGGCCAGATCCTTCCAAATCGCAGAGAACTTTTTAAGCCTCTAGGAAACACTTTAGAAACCTTTGACCTTGGAGACCAGGGACATTTCAAACTTTCTCTCAGCCCAGAAGCCTGTTGCTCAAGTAAAGCTCCACATGGAAACCCCATGTGCAGAGCAAAAAAGACAGAAGCTTCCAGACAGAGGCGTCTGTCAATCCTGATCACCCAAAGCCCTCAGTGTCCTGGGGAGGGGGAATGAGGCAGGTGGCCCCAGAGCTAGGACTCAAATCCAGGACTCCACCTCCCAGCCCAAGCCACTCTCTTCCTCCTGCCCCTGCTCAGCGGGAACAGGAGGGGGTGGGAGGGACCCCAGGGGGCTGGGAGTTGGCATGTCTGCTCCTCTGGTGGGGGCAGGGAGCTCCTGGCAGGCTGCAGCAGCAAGGAGGGGCACGTTGGGGGTGGGGGAACCGACAGACACAGCTTTCCCTGGGTGACCTGCACGTTGCCAGCCATCTTTCCAAGGCGAGATAATCTCTCCTGAGAAGAGGAAAGAATTCTAATTACATCTCAGGACAATATTTGTTTGGGGAGACAAGAGACAGAACATATGGTGGGGAGGGACATTGGGCTGTATTAAGTGGGACTTATTTTCTCACCTGGCAGCAGGGCGGGGACAGCAGATGGGGCGGGGCTCCTGCTGGGTTAGGGGACCTGCCTGCCCTGGGACATGGTTGGAGAGCGGGGCCCTGAGGGGGCGGGAGGCAGGTGTGGCTCCCACTGACCCCCGGGCGCCCTGAGAGGATGGAGAATGCCCCACTTGTTCAACACCCCCAGAGTGGCTCCTGTGTGCCAGGGCGGTGTGCCACCAGAGCTCCATGTCCCTGTTCTCATGGAGCTGCCAGAGGCAGTGGGGCCAGGAGGGAGGTGGGGGGACCTAGTAAAGGCCTCTCAGGGGAAGCGATCTTTGAGCTGAGCTGTGACTGATCTCAAGGAGCCAGCCAGGCAAAGAGGGGCCAAGGGAAGGAGCTTCCAGGCAGGGGGAACAGCCAGGGCAAAAGCGAGGAGGGACAGCAAGGTATGTTCAGGACAGAGGAAGCCAGGGGAGGGGGCCTGGCATCCCTACCCGTGGGGTGCAGGGGAGAGTCTGGGTTGAGGCTTCTGAGTAGGGCAGAGGCTCGTCTGATCCGGTTTTACGAAGATGGCGCTGGCTGCTGTGCTTTGGGGCTGGTAACAACCCAGGAGGGAAACTGAGTGGGGTGACTGGAAGAATCTGGAAGAATTGGTGGGAATAGCAGCCTCCTCCCTGGCCTGCTCACCTCTTCCACTCCAGCCCTCCCCTGATCCCCTGAGTACGTCTCTCATGGCACCCTTGGGTTCTTGGACAGAAGCCCAGGTATGGCGTTCAGGACCCAAGACCTACTCCTCCATCCCCATCCCTTGCCAGCTGCTGCCACACGTACCCTGCGCTCAGCCTGGCTGAGACTCTGAGCAGATGCCCCCTGGAGCCGGCCATTCCCACCTGCCCTTCCCTCTAACTTTCTCTGCCTCTCCCTCGCTCTGGCCCTTTGGCTGCTGGCCCTGCTACTTCCTGAGCCCCGGCCACTCCTCTCCCTGTTTCCCACACAGCCCTGTTCACAGAGACACCCCACGACATGACGGCACGGACGGGCGAGGACGTGGAGATGGCCTGCTCCTTCCGCGGCAGTGGCTCCCCCTCCTACTCGCTGGAGATCCAGTGGTGGTACGTGCGGAGCCACAGGGACTGGACTGACAAGCAGGCCTGGGCCTCAAACCAGGTAAGACCCTGGGAGATGCCTGAGCTGGGCGGGGAAAGTCCTGGCCCCTCATCTCCTCTGAGGGATACAGGCTCCAGCTCTGTGTGTCCCCTGCAGCCCCCAGTCGTCTCCCTCCCTTCCTCCTTCTGGGGTGGAGGGTTTTAGGAGATGATGGTGGCCAAAATCCCCCTTGCCCAAAATGGGGATTTCTTCTTGGGAGGGGGCAGGAGACAGAGCTAGGCTGAGCCATAGCAAGAAGGGCTCTCCCTTCAGTGTGCAAGTGGGGAAACTGAGGCCAGGGGGACAGAAGAGGGCTCCAGGTTAGGGGGTGAGATGGGTCTCATGACTCACTTTCCAGCACTTCTCTAGGACACGCTGCATGGGTGGCTGTGTGGTAAAGGACTGTGCAGACATGAGGCACGTTGTTGCTGAGTTCAGTCACAAGTTCATTTACAAGCACGCATACACACATGCAGGCAGGCCCCAGCGCACCCAGTCACTGCACACACAACACGCACATGCTTATGTGGACACACCTGCTAGAGCATGTGCTGGGGTGCCCTGCCCACATGCCTGGAATGCTCCAGCCCCTGCCACCAGCCCCACTGCCAATGCCACCTCCTGTGACTTTGCCTGAGGGTTTTCTCTGGACAGTGGAGCCTGCTGGCTGGCAAAGCAGGCAGAAGGAGCTGGGGAATCAACATGCAGGAGCAGCCCTCAGCCAACGGCTGGCAGGAGCTGGAGGATAAATATCCCAGATCCTTTGCCCCTCAGCTGGGATCACAGAAGAGCTCTACTATGCCTCCCCGAGGTGCCCAGCGGCATTAAGCTCCGATTACCCACAGTCCTTGGGTACCATGCTCCTGGCTATTAACTTCCTTCCCTTTTTTGTCTCACTCCCCTTCTGGTGTTTCCTGGAATCACCTCTCTCATAAACTGCTGGCGCTTTAGTCATTGTCTCGAGTTCTGCTTTTGGGGCATCTCCATCCAAGACGCTTATGTTCTTACACATGTGTATACACAAATGATCACATGAACGCATACATCTCTACCCACCCATCCACACACAAACGCATGCATTTACACACCTTCATATACACACGTCAGCATGCCCCCATATTTCAGAAAGAGCCTCTGACATATACCAGTACATATCGAAGTCTGTCTTGCTCCTGGGAGTGTCGTCCTCCCAGCACTTCCAGCCTGCCGCATATAGGCTTGAAGGACGCCAGTGGCCAGAGAAAGCCCTTAGGCAAAGAGTGGCAGGTATTTGTGGTTGGAAGCCTCTGGGGTTGGCTTGCTGGGGAACAGTACGTTACGTGGGTAGGGCTCTGACAGCATCTGCTACAAACGTGTTCACGTGTGCAACACACCTGGAAGTACAGACACATTCACAGATAGACAGACACAAGGGACAGACATACACACTCCCACTGACCTACCAAGCAGACGCTTACATTTCTGATGTTCACACATACACACCCCATATATGCCAAAACGCCCTTACACATCTAAATACAGAGCACGTGCAGCTGGTGCTGTGTGCACTGCCTTTATCTGCTTTTGTTTTTGCACTGACACCCCCCCCTTCCCTAAGTGGACAAAGAGAGCTGAGGGACCTTAACTCTAGACCGCACGGCTCTGAGTGTCATCTGCTGTAGCTAGAATCTTAACGGTCCTCCTGTCCCTACCTCAGCACACGTTTCCCCCGACTCCCACCCCGTGCTAACACCTTGTCTCTGCTCTCTCCGCCCCTACCCGCTCCCCACAGCTAAAAGCATCTCAGCAGGAAGACGCAGGGAAGGACGCCACCAAAATAAGTGTGAGTTTTGATAATGACTTCTCGAAAGGGCTTTAATTGAGGACACGGCTGTGACTTAAAAAAAATTGGATCCAGTTCAGCAGGGAGCTTGGGCAAGAAGATGGAGAAGAAGAAAAAGAGAAGGGGAAAAAAAAATGGCCCTGCTCTGTTTTTTAAAAGCCAGAGATTTTTCAAGTTCATTGAATGATGGGCACAAAAAATGACAGGGGGAGAGAAGATGCATTTTCTCCTGTCGGAGCCAAGGCTGTGTGTACCCCGATGCTTTGTGGCTGTCTCAGCAGCATTCTTTTTCCTTTTTTAAAATTTATTTTTCAGCAACATTTTTTATTTGGGGAAACAACAAGGTCTAATGAGACTGAGCTGACTTTTTTTTTGCCCATCATGACTGACTGCTGCTGCATCTCGTGGTCACTCGGTGATCTGGCTCCGGGGGGCGGATAGGGGGCTGATGGACTTCAGGACTGGCTGGGTCTTCTTAGGCATGACCTCACTCTATTTTTTGTCATAGACTCACTCTATAGGAAAGGCTGAACTTCCATCCATTTTACAGGTGGGGCAGCTGAGGCCCATAGGGTCAAGGACTTACCGGAGGTCACACCAAGAGTGACAGGTGCTGCTGAGCTGTCTGGCTTCAAATCTCAAGCTCTTTGTCTTCAGGCTATGCTGGAGCCCAGTGAGGCCCAGGGCCCAGGGGAGCTCAGCAGAGAATGGTTTTGTGGAGGAGGGGCACCCAGAGCTGGGGAATAGAACACCAGTAGAGGGGAACAGCCTGGGGGACATATATGGCCATGCGACCAGGCTGGATTATGTATGTGGCAGGAGGTCGGCCTGGCAGGAGGCTAAAAGCCGACCAGCAACATATTCAGAAAATGCACGTGCCGTGGGGGTGTGCATGCGGTGTGTATTGCAGGGTGAGTGGCCTCTCCAATTCACTCTTTTCTGCTTGGTTCTTCCACAGCTTTTCAAGGACTTGTGGGGGAGCGCAGGACCCCCAGGCCAATTAGATACGGATTTATAGAGGAGCTGCACCCCAAAACCAGAGGTCACGGTGTAGAGAGTGGGCACCAGGAGACATGGGGGGCACCGTGTCAGGCATTGGAGACGGCAGCGTGGAGGCAAGGAGGCCAGGGAGGAGGCTCCTTCAACCACTTAGGCAAGAGGGAGGCAGATGAGAGAGCAAGGACTGTCAAAGCATCGTTTGGGCCATCTGGGCAGGGGCACAGTCAGGATATGGAAATTCAAGCCATTTCCAGGTCAGGGTGGCTGCCAGTCCACCTCCCACCCTCCCACCCTCACCCTCACCCTCACCCTCTGCGAAGGGCACATCTACATCTAATGTTCCGTTTCTTGCCCGAACACCCATCAGTTAAGCCCGGGCAGGTAGAGATGTATGTGTGTGTTAATATACCCCGTTCTTGGCAACTCTCTTTCCTATGATTTTTTGGGGGGTTTAAGGAGCAGCTCAGGAAAGAGAGAGAATAATCTAATTGACTTAGAGGATTAGAATTCAAGGCTGCTGGGCCCCACATGAAGGGAATGCAATGATGCTAATCAGTTAAATAAAATAAATGTGCTCAGTGTCACTATGCAACCCCCCCCCAACTCCCACCCCAGCCTGTGCAATTCCTGCACCGCTGGGGCTCTGGGGTTCTGGTTAGTAAACCCACAGGTGGGCATAGGCCCAGCTCCTCGTGCAGGCAGAGCCACACAAATGACCTTCTTAAATGCACAGACGCATGGTTGGTGGACGCCTGTAAACGGTTGCACGCCCTGGGTTCCCGCAGTCTGAGAAGGCGCACACTCTTGTCACCGGCCTTCGAGGCCCTGCATGATTGCTCTGCCCACCCTCTGGGCTCATCTCCCCTTGCTTGGCCTCACTCCCCTTCCTTCCCAACCCGGGCAACTTTCTGCCTTCCATTCCTTCCCACTGCCAGGCCTTTGCACCGGCCAGTCCCTCTGCCTGGAAAGCTGTTCCTCTCTCTCTCTCTCCCTGAGAGCTCAGCTCAGGGAATCCGCCCTTGACACTGTGACTCAGCTGACACCCCTTACTTTTACCTGCTGGCTGTATTTCTGGTTGTAAGCAGTTTGTGTGAGTATTTGCTTCATGGCTGCCTCTCCCAGAGATGGTGGGACCAGGACTGTGCTTGCCTGGTTCACTATTACATTTCCAGGGCCGAGCACAGAGCCTGGTGCATAGTAGGTGGTGCCCAATAAATATTTATCAGATAGCTATCACACACAAAAATGTATGCCCTGGCCAACGTGTTAAAAATAAACAGATTTTTATACAGGTACATGCCACCATGACGTGAGTCCTATGCCTGTACATGTAGGTGTACGGGTGACGTGAAGGAGTGACGGAGCTCAGGCAGGGACCATGGGGACCTGGGAACCCAGACTGTGTATCCTCAGGGGGCAAACAAGCCAGGCAGGGATCCAGGCCCAATATTTCCATGTCTTCTAAAAATCTCAATATTGATGTTAAAAATCTCCTGGTTGTTAACTGTTGGGACCTAACTTGATCTTTTGAAAAACGCTGTGTGAGCTGAACAGCGCAGTCTACAGGCCGAACACCGTTGGAGCCTGAGGGCTTGAGTTCCTGGGGAAGGAAGTGCTGTCAGCTTTGCGGAGCTCGGTGGGGGAGGGCTGCGTGAACCTGGTGGGTCGCCACGCTAACCTTGGGAAGATTCAGACTCTGAGAGTCATCTATGCCGGTGGCCAGGTGGGATTTGGGAGGACACAGTGGGGCCGGCACTTAATGTCCCAGGAGCTTAGTCCTGGTTCCAGCTCTGCCACCTCCCTCCATCTCCTTTTCTGCATTAGCTGTTGTCTGAGGCAGATATGAAAACACTTTAGAAACTGCAAAGTGCTATGGATTTGACTGTGTGAATGACAGTGGTTACTGGGGCGGAAATCTGTTCAAATGAATTTGTGAATCGTAAGACTCCTATTCCTAGCATGAGGGCAGGCAACAGGCAAGGGAATGAAAAGAGCTCAGAATCTCGTAGGGCAATTGTTTATGTAGGAGGACAGGCACCCGCGATACAATAATAATAATTATAATAATAACACAGTATTCCCCCCTTATCCGCGGTTTCACTTCCTGCGGTTTCAGTTACACCACGGTCAACCAAGGTCTGAAAATAGGTAAGTACAGTACAATAAGATACTTTGAGAGAGACCACATTCACATACTTTTGTTACAACATATTGTTATAATTATTCTATTATTAATGTTGTTAATCTCTTACTGTGACTAATTTATAAATTAAGCTTTATCATAGGTATAGGAAAAAACAGTATATACAGGGTGTGGTACTATCCATGGTTTCAGGCATTCCTTGGGGGTCTTGCAAAGTATTCCCTGTGGATAAGAGGGGACTAGTATAATAATATAGCAGCTAACATTTATTGAGTGCTTATTGTATGTCAGGAACCATGGTGAGCACTTTACATAAATAATTTCGTTTAACTTGGGGCCTGGGAAAGGACCCCTGGTCTAAAAACATCAACCTGGGTAGCTCATACATGCCAAGGATTCCACCATTAGGGCTTCATTCCTATGGCTCAGGCAAACACTTCTGCTTATTGGCCATTTTCAAGTTCTGGAAATTTTTCTTTTGATCTAACTAAATTCCTTTGTACTAGAATTGAGGTTAATTTCCCCTTAACCAGTTTTGCAAGTAGAGATGATCCCCAAATTCCTAATTTTTAAGACAAGGTGAAATTCTCCACACATAACCTTCTTCTCAGGGCCTTCATCACTGTAAGTTTATGCTTGGGGGCCAAATTAAACAGAAGATGCCTCTGTAAAGGGCATAGTCACACTCATCCAGTTTCTGCCTTCTGGGTGCTCCCGGTCCAGTGTGGGAGATGGGCATTAATCCAATAATCATGCATGACAGAAAGTAAAATTACAACTGTGATACTCAAATGGGGAGTCCTGTCCCAGGCTCTGGGAGCCAGTAACAGGCCAGGAGGGCTTCCTGGAGGAGGTGCTATTTGAAGTGAGCACTGAAGTGTGTAGGAGTTGACAAGGGGTGGGGGGAATTTGCTGGGTGAGTGTGTTGGACCAACTGTTATTGGTTGAGGGGCAGGCAGGGACAGCACCTCAAAGGGCCTTGTCAGCCATTTTGGGGGAGCATTGAAGGGTTTTAAGGGGGCATTTTGAAAAGATCTATCTGTTTGTCATGGAAGAACAGATTGGAGAGGACCAGAGTGGCCTTGGGAAGATCCAAGAGGAGGCTGGTGTGATGATCCAGATGGGAGAGGCCAGGACCTTGCCTTGGCCAGTGCTGGGGGATCCAGATTCTGAAGAGAAGCCCAGTTATGTTTAAAGGGAACATCAATGAGATTCAGGGATGGATTGTGGAAGGAAAACCGGGATGACGACTTGGCAGGGAGGGTTTGGCTGGAGTGGGTGAGGCCTTCTGGGGCCCAAATTGGGGAGACCCTGATTTGGGTTCTGAACATGCTGAGGGGCTGGTGAAGCAGCCAGGTAGAGCTGACGGAGGCTCAGAGCAGGGCCCGGCTTGGGGCAGGAGCCATCTGACCCCCATCCTCCACCCCAGGACCTTCCCGGGGGGCACCACCTCAGCCAAGAGGCACAAATCGGCACCACTAATTTTTCCTGCCACTTGGGAGGAAAGATCCCAGCCTGCCCATCATGAGCTGGCGCAAGGGTGCCCCTGATGTGCCCAGAAAGCCCTGGGCCACGGGGCCAGCAGGGAGGAGGCTGAGCTTGGTCTCTTTCAGCATAATTAGGTGCTTAATTGCGCTGCTAAGGCCTGTCAATGTCTGTGCCGAGGTGATTATGATTTACAGCCAGGCCACCATGTGGGGGTCTCCTCTCTTCATGGCCTTCTGGTCACACTGGAGGGCTGCACCATGAGGTTTCCTGCATCATTTGTGAATGATGAAATCCAACAGGCTTCTCCTGCCACCGCAAGAAGCTGGAGTGGGATGTTGGGCCCCCTCCCATGGGATAGGCCTCTGGAGAGGTTTTGGGCTGGGCTCCCCCATGACATGGAGTGTTGGGTGCCTGGGAGCGAGGTAGGAGGAGTGGGAAAACCGACCTATAGTTTTCTGTTCATAGGAGGCTCCTCAAGGTGTGGTTAAGGCCTGGTCTCTGTCACCAGCTCGGTGCCCTTGGGAAAATAACTTTACCTCCCTGAGCATCAGCTTCCTCCCCCATACAATGCGCATCCTAGCAGTGCCGACATCGTGGGGTTATTGTGAGGTTAAAATGAGACTGATGAAGCCTTAGAACACTACGTCACAGTGATGGAGCTCTCCGTACACATCAAGTCCCAGCACCACCATTACTGTCATTACTGTTTTTATTATTTGCCTTCTCCAGACGGTGCTTAGAAGCATAGACTATTGGGGCTGGGGGTGGGGAGCAGTGTCTGCTGTGTGTACTGTACTCGCCCTTCATCTGGGTGGGGGTCAGCTCACTGGGGTGCTGGATTGTGGGTTTGAGGTTCCCCATTAGACTGTGGCTGGTGCGAGCACTGCTGGGGTCTTGCTGCTTCACAGCTGTATCCCTGCCACCCAGCTCAGAGCGGGCGCTCACCAAGTGCTTGTTGAATGAATTGATGAATCTAGCTCAAGGAAACTGAGGCCAGGGTGCTGGTGACTGGCCGGGATCAGAGCCGAGTCTCCCAGCACTCCCCAGTGCTCCCTGTCCCCTGTCCCTTCTCCTCTGAGTGGAGAAGAGCTCATACTTCTGAAGGCCACATCTGTCCGTTGGCAGAGGGGGTGACAGGTGGGAGGGAGCTGCCTGTTCCTGGGAGTCTGGTCCAGATCCTCGTAGTCCGTGTGGGGGAGGGGGCAGGGCATGGGTGGGGGCTGGGCCAGGCTTGGTGCTCCCTCCCTAGGAGCGTCTGCTCCCAGAGCTTCGCATTATTACTCCATTAGCGCCTTGTAGGGTTGACAAATGAAGGATAATTAATATCCGTGAGGGAAACAGATGTTGAGGTAATTCGCTCCCGCTGCGCATTTGCAACAGCTTCTCCTAACTCGCCTGAGAGCATGGCAGGACCACAGGGCCTCTCCATGCCCTTGGTCGGAGGTGATGGAGTCAGCAGGATGGGGCGGGCTCCTGCTGGGCCTGGCACTGGGGAAGGGGCGCCTGGTTCTCAGCCCCCACGCCGAGAGGGGCTGGAAGAGTTTCCCACCACTTGCCATTGGGAAGTTCTGCCTGTGTCCCACCTCGGTGTCTCCAAGTATCATAAGCCCATGATTTCCTGCTCCATGGGGGATGATGACCAGCAGGAAGGCTCAGCACATGGGAGGATGGGCCTGCTCTCTGCTGCTGCCTACCCACCCTCCTCCCTTCTGGGGCCTGAGGAGCCCCCTTGTGGCCCAGCCAGCTCTGGGTGACACTCTGTGGGCCTGTCACACCATTTGGAGGGTGAGAGTGCATGGAGTCAAGCTTGGTTCAGTTCCCAGCTCCGCCACTCACTGACTCAGTGCCCCTGGGTGAGTCACTTCTTTTGGAGCCTCAGTTTTGCCATCTGTAAAGTGGGCATAATCATGTGTATGTGACCTAAAAAATCAGAAAGCAGGACATTTGGGTACCACTTCAGTTGGAGAAAGAAGGAAATGGGGTGAGTCCACTCATTACTAATAAACAAATGTTTATTATTTACTGGGTGCTGGGCTTTGCACTAGCATTCACAGAAACAAAATAGATATTGTCCCTGCCCCCATGGAGGTTATGGTTTAGCCAGGGAGAGAAACCAAAATCAAGTCAACAGACAAACGCATTAGATTATTCAAAATGTGATGACTGCTGTGCAGAAAATAGAGGGATATCAAATTCATCTTGGAGGAGGTGACATTTGAGAATGAATGGGAGTCAAGTAGGTGAAGACAGATAGGGAATGGCACCCAGGCAGAGAGACCAGTGTACAAAGGCCCTGAGGTCAAAAAAAGTTTCACATTTGGGAGTTGATGAAAAGAGGCCTCCCAGGGCAGCTGGAGCAGATTAGTGAGATGATTAGAAGGCACACTTGTGCGGCCCTGTGGTGCTCGGAAAGACGCCTGCAGGCTGAGTGCACTCTCAGAGACCATCCTCTTTCTCTTCCTGACCTCTCACTGTGGGGGTGGCCAGCAGGGGCATCCCACTTGGGGCCAAAAGCTGGGCTTCTCTTCCACAAGTTGGGGCTTGGCAGGAACCCAGCAGCTGTTTGCCCTTCCAGAGGAGAGGGGCCAGAAGGGCTCAGGGCTGAGGCCCCAGGTCTGAGGCCCACTGGCTATGCAGTGAACCTGTATGCTAGCAGGTGGTAAGATTATGAAACAAGGCTGTCTGGGAAGGGGGTTACCAGCCAGCAGCTGGGGACTAATCTCCACTGTTCTGTCAAGGCAGGTGGGGGCTGCAGGAGGTGGGGCAGGGCTTCTTTCTTCCGTAAGTAAAAAGAAAGGCCAGGGGAAGATGGAAGCCCCCTCCCACCACCACCACTCTCTCCATAGACCAAACTCCCTCCCTTTTTAAAATAAACTTTTTATTTTGAATTATAAACTCACAGAAAGTTGCAAAAAGAGATCGTTAAGTCCCTTGTAACCTTCACCTAGCTTCACCAGTGGTATATCTTATATAGTTGTCCAACTGCCTTTTCTCTTTTAATTGAAAAAACAATTCATAGCAGCTTTAATATTCACGGCAGATTTATTCATAAGATCTTTAATCTGGAAATTATACAAATGCCCATCAGTAGGTCATCGGATCAACAAATTGTGATGTATTCATATGATGGAATACTACACAGCAACAAAAAAGAGCAAACTGATACAGACAGCCACATGGAAGAATCTCACTGATACTGTTGTGTGAAGGAGGCTGGGCACAGGAAAGAAGCCGCACACACAAGAGTTCCCAAACAGGAAAAAACTGATCTATAGGGATAGAAGTCATAATGTGGTTAACCCCAGCTGGGCAGTGTTTATGGGTAAAGGCCACCAGGATGTGCTCTACAGGGTTACAAATGTTCCATGCTTTGCTCTGGGTGGTGGTTACACAGGTGTACACATAAGTAAAATTTCATCAGGCTGTGTGCATTTTACTGTATATAAGTTAAAATTTAATTTTACATAAAATTGTAAAAAACCAATCAAATAAAGCAAACAAGCAAAAAACCAAAGTACAAAGACAAATATAACAGACACCTTTGCTCCCCTCAACAGAACAGTTACTGGCACCCTGATATTTTTGTAACCAGCTAAGAAATATAACCTTTCAGACTAAGTGAAGAATCACTTTGCAGTCTACCTAGGTCCACTCCCCTCCCGTGTTCTGCCCCAGAGACAGCCTCTGCTGTGAGGCTGCTGTTTCTTCCCGTCTATTTTTAAACTTCTACACACAGGACTCCAAAACCAGTATAGAGTATTTTTATGTGTTCGTCTACACAGATGGCATCATACTGCAGGAGTTCTGCAGTGAGATCTCTCCCTTCTCCGTGTGCGGTTCAGCCCTAAGATGCCTACTTCTAGCTCATTCTTTTTGACTGCCCTGCAGCATTCCACTGAATGACCGACCACTGCTTACTTATCTGTTCCGCTGATGAGCATTAAAGTTGTTTCTACTTTTTTAGCTATTTAACTCACTCTCATGCAAACCCTAGCGTGCCTTTGTGGGCGTGTCTCGGGGCCCCAGCCCTAGGATGGGATCCCGGGACCACCCCCTCCATTCTCTCCGCTGCCGCCCTAAGGACAGGTCACGGTTTCTCTGTCGCCCCCAGGTGGTCAAGGTGGTGGGCAGCAACATCTCCCACAAGCTGCGCCTGTCCCGAGTGAAGCCCACGGACGAAGGCACCTACGAGTGTCGTGTCATCGACTTCAGCGACGGCAAGGCCCGTCACCACAAGGTCAAGGCCTACCTGCGGGTGCAACCGGGAGAGAACTCCGTCTTGCACCTGCCCGAAGCTCCTCCCGCCGCGCCCGCCCCGCCGCCCCCGAAGCCGGGCAAAGAGCTGCGGAAGCGCTCGGTGGACCAGGAGGCCTGCAGCCTCTAGACCGACGCCGCGCCCACCTGCCCGCCCGCCCACGCTGTACAGAGTGCATGGGGACCGGACTGCCTGCGTCTAGCCGCCTCCCCATCCCCGAGGCCGCCTGCGGCCACCACCTCGGCCCTCCTCCCACCACCCCTTGCTCAGCATGTAAACCCTGCCCACCCCTTCCCTTTCAGACCCCTGCGGTGACCTGGCTCAGAGAAGGTAGCCCCAGGGCACCAAGGGGACGACTGCCCTGAACACTTGCGGTCCCTGGCTGCGTCCCCTTCTGTCACCAGCTTCAGTGGAATCCTGTGTTTTGCTTTGCTTGCTTGTCCCCCATCCTGTCCCAAGCGGGGGCCTCCCAGCCTTACCTCCCTCCTTCCTACCATCTCCTATTTGGACCTGGGGGTGTGGACAGTGACCCCTCCCCAAATTTGGACTTGAATCTTCTGAGCAGAACTAGGTCTCTCCCTGGTGAAGAACTGGGACTTGAAGTCCCCCAGAGGTCACTCACAGGGCCCTGGGAGGAAAGCAAGATGCCCCACTACCTACTGGTAGGTCCTTCCTGTTCAGCCTTCTTATTCCTAAGAACAGCTCCCTGTCTGACCCTGCAGGAGTGCAGGGCAACCAGGAATCTCTGCCCCATCACACAGCCAGTGAGAAGGGAGGGCCCTTCCCCTCTGACCCACAGCCCCTTGCAGAGTTTTGCACCAGCAGGACCCCTTCAAGGGTCTTCAAGGCTCTCCCAGGAGCCCCCCTCTGCCAACCCCCAATGTCACAGTCCCCTCTTGGGGCCCATGCCAAGTCCACCCAAGGGCCTGGGGCTGTTGGGAGTCAAGGGTCCCCCCAATACCAATTCCCCCACAGTTCCTGATCAGGGGCACACCTGCCCCTGGTGATTTGTAAATATTTCTATGTGGCCCAACACCCCCTCGGAACTGGCTCAAGCCTCTGGCCACCCCTCCAGCAATGGAGCAGGGAGGGGGGAGAGGCTGAGGGCTTTGTCTAGGGGTGGGTGGGTTGCCCTTATACATGATCTAATCCGTGACTACCAGCCAACATGAATAAAGCGGTTTAAAAAAACCTCTGGGTGGTGACTTTCTGGGGCATCTGTGTCTGGGAGTGGTGTGGTGGGGGGAGGAGGAGGTGGCTGGCTCACACCCATGCCTCACTCACCATCTTTGTCTGTTTCCCAAGCAGGGCCTGGCTTCACAGTGCAGAGCACAAAAGCTAGTGGGTGCACAGGGAGAGGGTGAAAGAAAACCAGCCTTTGCCCAGCTCCAATCCATTTAGCAGGCACTTGAATGATTCTTTGGTTCTGAGATAATCACACATACAGAAGAGTGCATAAAACATGTTTACACAGTGTTGGGAATAATTATAAAACACGCATGTAGCCACCACCTGCCAAATATGGCACCCGGAATAGAATCTCCATCCCTAGTCCCATGTGTCCTTGAGATCATATACCCCCTCTTCCTTCATAAAGGTAACCACTGTCCTGACTTTCAAGGTAATCACATTCCTAATGTTCTTTTTATAGTCTTACCACATATGTGTATGTCATTTTTTTTTTCCTTTTTTGTCTTTTTTCATGACCGGTAACGGGATCGCAACCCTCGGTGTCGTGCCTGCACCGCGCTCAACCAGTGAGCGGACTGGTCTCTATATGGGATCCGAACCCTCGGCGGGAGCACTGCCACGCTCCCAAGCGCCGCACTCTCCCGAGTGTGCCACCGGGCCGGCCCTGTATGTCATTTTAAACAATATGAAGGTACTTCAAAAAGCTCATGGAAAAATTGGTATTATCTTTCAATTCTATTTTTCCACAAACTTTTTGAAATACCCTTGTATATTTGAGTTTTGTCTGTTTTTAAATTGTGTATTCATGGAATCATATTGTATGTATTCTTCATGCAACATTATATTTGTGAGATTCATTCATGTTGCATGTGTCTATAATATGTTCACTTTTATTACTGTATAATATTTCACTGTATGAATATCCCAAAATGAGTCAACTTATTTACCCATCCTACTATTCACAGTAATGTGGAGTGTGCTCCTGACAGGGTGATTACCAACATTGCTATGAGCATATTAGTCCATGTCTCCTTACACATGAGCACGAGATTGTCAGGGGTGGATTTGCCAGGTTGGAGGTTTAGGCAGTTGGTCTGGGATCTCATTTTCTCCTGTGAAGTATCACTATCCCCTTATTTCAGTTAAGGAAACAAGCTCAGAGAGGTTAAGTAGCTTGCCCAAGGTCACACAGTTGTTGAACTCATACCTCCCTTAGCCCTAAAGCCTATTTGTCCTGCTCTGTCAGGCCTGGTCTCCCCCACTCCCACCCACCATGTCCTGGGCTCTGGACACTCCTTGGCTCATCCCAGCTGAGGGATGATCCTGCTGAGAATCTGCCCAAGGATGTGTCGATCTGGGGCTCTCAGGTCAAGCCCTCATAGTCAGCATGGCCAGCTGGTCACTCCTCTGTGTACCTGCGGAAACCACAAGTACCACTCAGAGGCTCAGAACTGTTGAAATGATGGTTGACATTGGCCCTGGGCTCCATGCCCCAGGCCCTGTGCTGATCACCTCAGCAGCCCCAAAGCAGACATTGCATCCTCAATTTTCAGATGAGGATACTGAGGTTCAGAGAAGGGTGGGTTGGAGGATGGATGAACGGATGGATGGTTGGATGAATGAGGACGTAAGTGAACCAGGCTGTGAACAGGGTCTGGACCTGTTGCAGAATCCTGGTATCCTGGGGCTGGATGGTCTATGACCTGTGCTCCTCCAAGGCCAGTGGCTAGCCTTTATTCAATGAATATGGTCCCTTCCAGAAATGTCCAGTGAAAGGCTGACCCTCAAAGGCCTCTAGCAAAGCGCTTTCCACAGGAAATTCTGAGATTCCACAGGATCTCATCTAACCCTCCCAAGTGCCTATGTTCCATCTCCAGTCACCTTCTCCCATACAGAGGTCCCCTACTTCCTTGGAGGAATTTTTCTTGTTCTACTAGGAAGAAAGGCAGATGACAGGAGAGGAAAGTGTCTAGGTTAGACTCCTGCCTCTGCCCATCCCTGCTGCATGGCTTCAGGCAGAGCTCTGAGCCTCTCTGATCCTCAGTTCCCTTTTCTGTATAATTGGGATGCTCCCAGGGAAATGCAAATCAAAACCAAAAGGGGGAACCACTTCATACACACTAGGTGAGCTAGAATCAAAAAGACAGATCATAACAAGTCTTGGTGAGGATGTGGAGAAATTGGAACCCTCATACATTGCTGCTGGGAATGGAAAATGGTGCAGCTGCTTTGGACAACTGTCTGGCAGTTACTCAGAACGTTAAACCTAGAGTTACCATTTGATCCAGCAAATCCACTCCTAGGTATATACCCAAGAGAACTGAAAACATACTTATGTCCACACAAAAACTTGTGCATGAATATTCATAGCAGCATTATTCATAATAGCCAAAAAGTGGAAACAATCCAAATGCCCATAAACTGATAAATGGCTAAATAAAATGTGGTATATGCTAGTTGCTGATAAAAAGGAATGACATTCTGATACTTGTTACACCACGGATGAACATTGAAAACATCGTGCTAAGTGAAAGCAGACAGACACAAAATGCCACATATTGTATCCATAAACTGATAAATGGCTAAATAAAATGTGGTATATGCTAGTTGCTGATAAAAAGGAATGACATTCTGATACTTGTTACACCACAGATGAACATTGAAAACATCGTGCTAAGTGAAAGCAGACAGACACAAAATGCCACATATTGTATGATTCTGTTCATATGAAATGCCCAGAATAGGCAAATCCATAGAGACAGAAATCAGAAATCAGACTGGTGGTTGCCCGGGACTGGGGGAGAGGAGAGGAGAGTGGGAAATGACTTCTACTGAATATGGGTTTCTTTTTGGGGTGATGGAAATATTCTAAAATTGATGGTGGTGATGGTTGCACAACTGTGTAAATATACAAAAAGCCACTGAAACTATACTCTAAATGGGTGAGTTGTATGGTGTGTGAATTATATCTTAACAAAGCTGCTGAAAGAAATGGGATGCTCGGCTAGATGGCTAGCTCAGTTGGTTAGAGCACAGTGTTATAACACCAAGGTCAAGAGTTCAGATCCCCATACCTGCCAGCCACCAAAAGAAGAAGAAGAAGAAGAAGGAGGAAGGAGGAGGAAGAGGAGGAGGAGGAGGAGGAGGAGAAGAAACAGGATGCTCCTAACTATAGCACAGTGCCCACATACGGGCGGGCACATGGGAGGCACTCAGGAAATTCTGGCTCCTGTTATTACCATTGCTTTGATTTTTATGTGAAAGCCACAACCAAGTTGTGCTTGACCTCAGGGTATAGCTGGTAGAGGCAGCCAGCGGGGAGGGTGGGCACGAGGCTGGAGAAGGGAAGTCCCTAAGAGCAGGTACCCAGGCCCTGTTCTGAAGGCTCAGAAAACCCCCAGTGCACCCCCAGGGTAGATGCAGGCCACTTTCCCCTTAGTGCCCAACTTAAGAATCAGCTGGGGCAGGGGGTGCTTGTTATAAATTCAGGTGTCCAGTCTCCCTCTTGGCCTTCAGACTCCCCACTCCAGCATGTATAGTTAGCTAGTGACCTGAAGATAACAATGTATCTTGGTGAAGTTTCCACCCAGGTAGTTTAATGGCTGTAGAATGTCCCATTATATAGATTAACTGTGATTTATGTAGCTAGTCCCCAAATGATGAACATTTAGGTTGTTTCCAGTCTTGTGCTATTATAAACAATGCTGCAGTACATTTCCTAGTTTATAAATCTGTGCATGCATATGCAAGTATCTTATAGGATAAACAGCTAGAAGTTTGAATTGCTGGGTCAAGGATTTTGTGTATTTTTTAATTTTGGTAAATATTGCCAAATTACTCTCCACCAAAGTGGGACCAATTTGCACTCTTACAAGCTGTGTATGAGAATGTGCATCTGACCCCTGATTTCTCCAGTCTTGCCAACCTTCAAATCAAACATGTTGATCTTGGTCAATCTGTTGGTTAAAATGGGATCTTATTGTGGTTTCAATTTGTGTTTTTCTTATAAGTGAGATTGAGCTTCTCTTTGCTTATTTAAGAACCGTTTGTGCTCCCTTTTCTGTGAACTGACAGCTCATAATTTTTGCCTATTTCTTTTTATTGGCTTGCTGCTTGTCATCTTATTGATTTGCAGGAGCTCTCTGTGAGATGAATTGCAAATATTTTTCTCAATCTTTTTTTTCTTTTGTCTTTTGACTGCTTTTGATGGTACTTTAGTTTGTTATTTTCCAAGTAAAATATTTTTTTATTGTTAAGTAGTTTGCATTTCTTAATCTTTTATTTTATCATTTATGTGTTATCTTTTATTTATATAAACGTAAATTTGACCCTTCAGCAATTTAAATTGCGTTAAGGTGTGAGATAGGATCCCAATTTTATTTTTTTCTTAGGTTTTTAATTTTTTCTCTCTCATCTCAACACTATTTTCCCCCTATTCATTTGAAATGCCACTGTTATTATATTC